AAAAAAAAAAACAAAAACGAAAAAAAACCCAGAACAAAACAAAAACAGCAGGCTTCATTTGAAAGGCAAGTCTGCAGTGCAGGAACTGTCCATTCGCTCCAAATTTGTGGTTTGAGTGCTTAGATTTTTATAAAATGCTACCTTGGTCCTTTCTTCTCATCGAGGTGCACTTGGCACTGACAGTTAGAAGGTTCTGCTCCAATCTTCACTGTCACCATGTCAAATGGGACTTCAAAGTAGTATTCTCTGATCCTTGGGTTAAATTTAGGATTCAGGTCCACAAGTGGACTGGTGAAGATCTGCCTGATATGAGACAGTGTATCTTTATCTGTACCAAGAAGGCATCAAGAAAGAAAACTGAAATATATGAACATTTTAAAACATGTAATGGTTGCAAAGTTATTAAGCAATACAATTCATAAAAGCAGTCTTTCACTTGAACTACAACATGTTAAATGATTTTGTTCTGCCATTTGAGATACATTTTCAGACCATTACAAGGTTTTAATCAATCACTGGCTAATTACCTCAGTAGGATTCATAACATTAAATATCTGAATAAGACTTTGGAAAGTTAGGGATTAGGATCATGAAACCCTGTCTCCAGTGGGTTAATCGAAACTTACATGGGCATTATAACAAAAATTCATAACCTGCTTAGTTTGTACCAATCTGTGTGCAGACTTTATATAAACGTGTAGTTGCCAGGAAAAGTCAGTCTGTTGGAAACACTCGTACATAAGAACTGATCACATGGTGATTTAGACTCTGGGGTCATTTGTAATACAGCAGGATGATTTTTTTTTAAGAATCCTCATTCAGCAAATTCTGCCTTCACTCCTGTTTGTGAATTATCTACAAATAGATCATAATTTTCAAAACTGTACTCATTATTTTGCTTTATCTACCAGCTGCTTTCTGAGAATAATTATTTGCCTGGAGCAAATTTGTGACAAAGCTGGTGAAATTATTTCGAGCTGACCTGCTAGAATGATATACTTACAAATTAATTTTGCCTTCCAATATTCTCCAATATTTTTTAAACATCAGTGACTTCTACAAACATTCCAGCCAGTGAATTCTATCACCAAAATATCTGAACTAATCTGGAGGCTGAATACATGGCCAAAGTGGGGCTTAAATGACGCACGTAGTCTATGTTTACTGTGGTACAGACTGAAATGCAGTTTCTCCCACGTTACAGAGGTTTAACCAAGAGCAGAATTTAGGTTATATTTTTATTCAAAGCATCCAGCACAGAGAGTTGAGGTAATATAAGTGGTCAAAGGATATTATTCTTAAGTACAGACCATTCTCCAAGATGTTATATGCCTTTGGTAGAGCACACATTGTTTCTGATACACTCTGCTTCCCTGAGAAACCATGAATAGCCTTAAGAAAAAGTAGCTTGGGGAAAACATTAGAAGAAAAATCTTATAATGGGAACAAAACCATGGGGTCAATCACCTAAAGTAGGAATGTTCATGGTTTGGAATTAACATCTTCCTGACTGATCTTTGAGTTTAGTAAGAGAGAGGAGATGAGACCCATTGGGTTGAAGATTCCTCACCACTAAATAGCAATTTGTCTTACCCTGTGTAACAGGGGACAGCTCAGGGCCAAGTCCCAACGTCGGCCCACCCACCTGTCTAGGGCAGTCTGCCCTGTCTCGCCTGCCACAACTTGTTGTATAAATAACTGGTGTTGAATACAGAGGCTGTCCATTAAATGCTCTGATGCTTAGGGCATTATACACAGCTCCAACCTCTCCAATACCTTGTCCCATGCCTCACAGATGGCATTGTAAGTTGGTTATAGCACCGGCCCAGAGCCAGGCCAAACTCTGCCCCTTGTAGTGCCTCTAACACTGGGCTCAAACACTCTACCCTTCACAAGGTCTCTTTCATACCACCCCCTCTCACACGGCCTCTTTCACTCCACCCCCTCTGACAAGGCCTCTTTCATATTCTTTCATACTGCTCCTCACTGGGCCACTCTCAACCTGCCCAAAGGTGTTCCGCCATGCCCTGTTAGAGTGATTTCTATATATAATATAGCACAGTTAAGGAGACAGAGGAAAAGCCCCAGCAGCTGTAATATCACAGCATACAGAATCCAAGGAGCTAATTTAGACAAGCTCTTCATCTCCTGAGCAGGTCTATGACATCCACTCGTAAAACAAAGTTTTATTTCTTATATTTGCTTTGGCTCACAGAACTCATTGTACCCCATAATGAACCAACCACCATGCAACCACATGTAGCTCTTACATAATTTCAATTGGCTATAAAAATAAGAAAGTATATTTGTAAAATTATGTATTAATGCAGTTGACTAGGCAACTTCCTGGCTAGTGATGGCAAGAGATGTTAAACAAGTGAAATTTAATGTTGAAAGGCAACAGTTGGGTTTAAGTCTGATTTGATATTTAAACATCTCATTCCACATCACAGGAAGACCATAAATATTACGTTGTACAGAAAATATTTGATCAGGAAGGGTAAAGTACCGAACTAATACTCTTTAGGATACTAGGGAACCCAAATTACTAAAATCATAGGATCATCCATTTTGATTACATACAATGCTGAGCTAAGCCATTTCAAACTATGCCTTTTCAAACATAAATGGTGATACTCATATCTCTATTGTAGGCAGATATACGTAATCCATACAACTAAATTTACAAGGCCTCTTTATAAAAAACAATTCTAAGTGAATAGAGAAACTGCAATTGTCCTTGAAAAAGTTCTATGTAAAAAACAAATGGTATAACCATAGCATAAAAAGCAACCAAGGCTTTTGGATCATTAGAATATCACCATTCCAAAAAGCACAATAATTTCTCATTTTGCGCTTGAGGCTTATTTTACATACCTTGCCCTATTTATTGACTGATTCAGAAACAGTTCTGTTTTAAAAAAAAATCCTTGGTTTAGTTTCTAAGGGCCAAAAGGCACCCCAGTCCCTAAAGAACTGTATACCAGAGCCAGATCCGGCTCCTGGCCCCGTCATTTAGCCTGTGAGCCTCCACAGGGCAGAAATTGGGTGAAGGGACAGCAGTGGCACTGCTCCCCCACTGCCAGTTTCCAGACTGAGGGAGCCCCGGTCCCTGTGCAATGAATCAGACACCTGATCCTAGTGCAGAGGGCCAGGCAGGGGCGGTGCCAGGCACTAGTGACCAATCCCAGGGGGAAGGGGTGCTAGGCCTTAGGGCCTGATCCTGGTGCACTGGGCTCGATCTGGCCAGTGAACTGGGACCACCCCACTCACCTGGCCTCTAGGGTCAAAAAGCTGAGCACCACTGCCATATACAGACACTGAAGGGAAATTGTTGAAATGCATCTTTCAAATCCCACATTCTGCTAATACAAAGATCTTGGCTTACCATGACTGCAGCGTCTTTCTTTAGTCTCACTGAAAAAGTGCAACACTAAAGGACAAACAAAAACAAATGAACAATGTTCTGCTGTACAGACTACATGCAACTACTATTCACAATCCACAATAAAAGAAAACCGACATTGAGATTTAATTTAAAAAATATTAAGTCAAGCTTATTCATTTCAGTTTGGGGTACATGTTACCTGTCTTCGTTGCAGAAATAAAACCACAAAACCAACTCACTAGAGTTTTTCCCAGTAACACCTGGTGGCTTTTTATATTAAGGAAATGAGTCAATTCTTTCTAGTTGGAAAGCAGGGATGCAAGAAACATCAGACATATTATCAGAGTTGTACAGAAGAAATATAGGTTCTGATTTCCTACCTTTACTACCCCTTGTTTGGTTGAAAAGAGCTCTCTGTTTAATGCTCTCATTTTCCAGGGAAGAATTCCTACAAATGGAACAGAAAAGATGTTTCTTGCTCAATGAAAAGAACAGAACCCCAAAAAAAATTTTTTACAAATCCCTATCTATCCAGTCTTAGCATAATGATATTACTTTTGGATATAAGTTCCCAGTACTAACAATCTCATCTGAAATTAACTTCACAGAACAATCAAAGTTCCTAACAAACAAACAGTAGTCCACAGCAAGAAAAAGAGGAAAAGACAAAGTATATCACAAAAGAGCAGCTAAATAGTAGAAGAAAATAAGGGAAAATTGAATTCAAGAATGAAAGCAAAATCCCTTTAACTGTTTGTGTGTCACTTTTTTTACAAATATGCAGATCGGATTACAATTTGTACACTCCCCCTCCTCCCCCAAACAAATGAAGACTTGTGGAATGGCACACTCCTAGATTGAGGTCAGTATGGGTTTATACAAAGGAACAAAGTAAACACAAGTGATATTATCCCATGCATTTGTACATATTGGCTAATCCAAAACTAAATGATATGTTTAACTGTTATGAAACATGAAAATCTGGTCTTTAACAAATGAGGACTAGCTATCTGCAACCACTCATAAATATGTCAGCAGCTCCAGATATGTTAAATCAGCACATTTCTTGTTAAAATTAGTCAAACCCATTTTTGGACCTGATTGGAAGCTGGCAATAGGCTTTGTTCTATTTGCACACTATATGACTGATAGCAAGAAATGACAAGGAAAGAGTTTGTATCTTTTTCCCAAAAATGATTCCCTGTGAGATCTCCCTAAGGAAATTCATTGTCACAGAAACCCGTATCATATCAGCTTAAGATCTAAAAAGACACAAAACCACTGTAAAGGGTGGGGGACATCGTAAAAAGTTCATGGCTAAATATCCTAACTAATATTTTAATGTAAATTGCATAAAGGATTATTAAAAGAAATTGCTGAAATTTTTCACCGCATAATATTAAACCATATAGAATTCTGAGACAGGAAACGAGGCTACTAACACTTTCGTTGCTGGCAAATCAGGATCAGTAGGTGTGAACTTTGATCCTGTGCTACCTAGATGCTGCCTTATAACTGTTCATATTCACAATCTCCTTTAAATGATGATTACAAATGTAGTAATATCCATGAAATGTTCCTTCTCACCTAAGCTTAGACCATTTCATAATCATTCTGGATGAGTTTCTGGAACTCTTCTTGCTTCTCCTGTAGAAGAAATTCAGAAAGCTCACTAACTTCACCAGAATAGTTAAAACTGTACAGGGTTCAGGCTAAGGCTCTATTCTTTGGATCCATGAGCAGTAAGCTGCAATACTACATAAAGTTGGTATAAACAGGACATTTTTCAGTGATTCTCCTTACCTGTCATCTTGTAATATAAAATGAGTAGTTGACCATACAACTGGAACAAAATGGAAATGGATTTTACACATACAGATACAAAGAAACAATGAAGGAGATTCACTGAAAACCTGGCCCCAATTCTGTAAAAACTAGAACAGTCCTGATGAGATACTCATCAAGGCTCTGAACTTCAAGCTTAATCAAAGTTTAAAAAAATGCTTAAATAAGGTATGGGATGAAGCTTGACTTACCTCTTTCCACCTTTCCAGCACTCCTAACTATACCCATACAGATAACACCAATGGCAGATGGTTACATACTTGGAACAATGAGGTAAAAAGATCAAGATTAACCATTTCCAAAACAGAAGCATCTATTCAGTGAATCAGCAGAACTTCTCTTTTAGTGCAGCTTCTACAGGTAATTTGTGAATAGGCAGGCTGACCTATGCCATGTAATAGAACAGGGGGATTGACCCTTTTGGCGAGCATACTACCGATCAGCCCCACACCTTTCCTTTGATCCCTTTTCCCTGCCTAGTTAGCTGTTCTGCATTCTGCTCCCTGACTGATCTGCTGTTTTGCTTTCTACTTCCTGCCCTATGTTCCCTGCTCAATCTGCCCCTGTGCTGCGTGTCCCCTCCCCAGTGTGCCACATGTAACACACAGAGACTGCCCATGCCACTTGTGATGCACAAGCTGCAAGTTGGCCACCCCCGTAAATAGAAGGTGACAGCACATGACCATACACAAATGTCCAACTTGTAGGAAAAAAAAGTTATGTCACTTTATCAAAGTCGATAAGCGGTGCAGCCTAAATTTAAAAAAAACCTGATGATGACTGGTAAGCTTTGATAGACAAAGCTAAAATATTTTGGCAAACTGGCAGAGATCATATCCCATATATTCTCACATACCATACTCCCCCAGTTAAGACATGTTCTTTGTTTTTGGAAGGCAGATTATGGGGGGAGTGGGGGGTGAAGACGCTATTAATTTCAGATGCAGCATTTTTTACTTGTTTTTTATATATGGGTAACAAGAATAATAAAACTTATTACTTATAGCAATTACTCAGAACTTTACATTTTCAAACTGCTACATAAATATTAGATAACCTGTGCAGTTCCAAGTCACTAACAAATTAAAAAATAGGCCAACTGAAATTAACTTGCTGAAAGTCACCCCTTGAGTCAGCACCAGAGGCAGAACTGGAACAGAAATTTCCGTCTATCCCAAGGTAATCTCTATGAACTCTGGTAAATACTGTACCTAGTTCTTATGGGAGTCAAAAAAACCTTGCATAATTCTGTTGAAATTTTCTAAAAGAAATCCCTCACAGTTCCATGTTACTTTCTACACCAATACTACTTGGCATTAGAGGGAAAAGTAAAGAGGCCAAAAATGCACTTTATGTGGAAACACAGTTCCAGCCTTAACAACGGAATGGCTTTCATAATTAGTCACAATGCCCAGCATCTCATGTTGCAAATAACCACACATTCACTGAAGTAAAAAGTACCACTGAAGTTACTGGAGCTACACACTATGTAGAAATATTACCAAAAAACTGACTTACCATCCAACCAAATTTGTGTGTGCCTCTTTATTCCTGAACTGGAACTGTTCAAGTAAACTGGAAAGAAGCCAATGTGCTGTCAGGACTGAACCAAGTCTTCTCATTGGGTCCACCATGTGGTAAAGGTCATGCAGCAAATTTTGAATCTTAGGCACAGAAGATGGGAAAAGCTGAGAAGAGAGATGTTGAATAGGAACTAAATGAATAAAGTAAATTACTACTTATGGCTAAGTACAGACAGTCAAAAAGCCCAAGGCTAAATTGATTCAATCTTTGCAGGTTAGTCTAAACTCTGTAGACTGAACCAATAAGCAAGTGAACAGAAGTTCACTTTTGATTCCGGAAATACAGCCTGCAGTGGCCCAGGCCAGAAGCTGGTGGGTGCTAGAGCACACCTCCCTTTTGGCTGGAGCAGACAGCTTGGACCAAGCCTAACCTGCCCACCCTGCAAGATGCAAAACATTGTGGGATGCTGGTGGACTGAAAATTAACTTGAATCTAGAGGGGATCTGGGACAGAAGTTCAAAAAACTGATTTAATATAAATCAGTTAAGTCTGATACTACATCCATCCAAGTTTATTTTAAACTGGTTTTGACAATTTTGAAAGCAGTTTATGTGCCCTGAACTTCTGGACTGGCGACAGACATTCAAAAAGCCTGAACCTGAATTGATTCAATCTTTGCAGGTTAGCCTAACTGCTTTGCAAGTGGATAGACATTCACTTTTGATACAGGTAATGCAGGCACATGCCTGCAGTGGCTCATCTGTTGATGATCCTGAGCTTTTCAATTTCCCTCTCCCTGCTTTATCATACTGTCTATGGGTAAATCTGATATCTTTTATTGGACCAACTAGAAGATACCAATACCCCTATATCTAGCCATGAACTCACTTCCTTTACCAACAATCACCTCCATCTGTCCCATGCCTTTTCTTAAACTGAAATCCCTTACTGGTGTGACAGGCTAGCTGGCAGTGACTTAGCCCAGGGGTTTTGAAAGAGCAAAAGATGATTGGAGGACTTGGGATTCCCTTTCCTCACCAATCAGGCCCCAGAGACTCAACCCCTGTGTCCCCTGATTGGCCCCCTGGGTCACCTGGTGGGGGGTAAAAGGGGCAGCATGGGCTGACTCAAGAGAGACCAGCGAGGGACAAGAAGGAAGGAGCTTCACAGAGCTGGCAAGAGCTGAGTCAGTGGGGCAGGAGCAGTGCCCCGGAAGAGCCTGAAAGAGCAGGACTTGCAGGCGGCAGTGGGACTCTCAGCAACGCGGCATGCAGCCAGCAGGAGAGGCTCCCCACTGGGCTCCAGGATCCCCTATGAGAGATCCCCTATGACAGAGCAGGAGAGGCTTCGCCGCTCCAGCAAGGATCTGAGCAGTGACCTGAGAGGTTCGCAGCTCTGCTTCCAGCTCCTCCAATCAGAGGCCAGGAAGCTCGACATGAGGCTGGGGCTCTGGCAAGGTCAAGACCCCTAGCAGGCTGGTACAGTGCCACCACTGGTGGCTGTGTGGCAACATTTCTGCCTACCACATGGGCAATCTGAGTTTAAGTCCCAGCTTCCCTTGCATGTCTTCCTCCCCCAAGCCCATATATTCAGTTGTTAAGCCAATCTATATCATCTATCCCTACTCCCATTTAACTCTTCTTTCCTTCCCTCCCTACTTCGCCCCAGTTTATCATTTGTCTGCCAATCCCCAAATCTTGTACTTAGCAGCCCTGGAGGAGATTCAGAGACCATGTAGACTTCTTGTAGCCCTGATATGGGCTTTGATAATTTTTTTCTGCTTCTTCCTTGTGAAGTCACTTTTCTTCACCCCTCATTGAATCCCATGCCTATAAATGCCAGCATTTTTTCATATCCACTGATTCTTTCCTAAAGCTCTCACCACTCCTACATTCTCTTCACTCTGCACAGGATCTCATTGACCAGTCAGTCTTTTCCTTGGACAAAATCTTTCATCATCTCCACTCCTCTTCTCCTCAGAACTTATTTCTCCTGACACTGACAAGTCTGGTTTGTACTCACTCCAGTCTCTTCATCTACTCTATTTCTGCTCCCACTGCACTCTCTCTTCATCTCACCCTGAAAGTCTCAATTCTTCTGGGGAAGGTCTTTGAAAAAATTATCAAGGGCCACATTTGTGAGAGCCCTGCAGGGGAAGTGATGTTGAGTGGTAACCAGCATGGGTTTGTGCAAGGCCAATCCTGCCTGACTAATCTGGTCTCTTTCTATGACCAGGTAACAAAGAGCTTAGATGGGAAGGAGGAAGTCGATGTCATCTTCTTAGACTTCCAGAAGGCCTTCGACACAGTGTCCCACCCAATTCTGGTGGGCAAGCTGAGGGACTGCGGCATTGACAAAT